TCATGTGCTTTGATCAAATCCACCCTTCATTTCCTCCCCTCTAATTCCTCCACTACCTTCCCATTCTGTCCCCCACACTCACTGAGTCCACCTAGTGCTGACCAAATGTGCACAGGTATGTGACCACCACTGGAGCATACATTCTCAATGACTGCATGAAAACTGAGTTGCCCTCCCTCAGTAGCTGTCATTGCCAATGGCTCCTCAGACACAGGTGGGACTTTCTGAACTCCTCCTTCCATGATTAAATTTTAGTTGACTTTCTCTTGTACAGGTCTTATACACACAGTCAGTGTGATAGTGCTTCGTGTGTGGACAGTCTGGTCATGTTATTCACTACCTCCAACTCTCACAATTTTTTTGCTCTCTCTTCCATGATGATCCTTTGGACCTCTGTAAAATGTGTGCTATAGATGTTCCATTTAGAGCTGAGCATGTCACAGTTTCTTATTCTATACATGTTGACCAATTGCGGGATTTTGTTTTAGTCACCATCTACTGAAAAGGAAGTTCATTGATGAGGGGTGAAAGATGCACTAATATATGTGTATTAAGACAAAAACTTAGGGGACAATTTAGTAATGTGTACATTTAGCAGAATAAAAGTATTGGGTTCTGCCATTGGGCCTAGGGCCTAGCTAGACATGTGATTTGTGCCAAATTAAAGGTATTAGACATGTATTCTGTCTTGTGTAGTTGGCCTTAAGTACAATTATATAGTGGTTGATTACTCCCATAACATTCATGCCCATGCCGCTTATGCATGGCTCAGCCTATCATTGTCAGAATATGTGCTATTGTAGCTTGCAGGCTTCACAGTCAGGTAATACTGTTGATTAACCTTCCTCTCCTAGTAGAATTCTTAGACTGTTGGAGAATTATAGAGGCTATCTAGCTAGTACCAGTTTATTTTCTCCATGCCCTATGACTCAAATTCCTGGTTTATCATTACCAATAGGGATTACCATCGAGTTTGGGAGGTAATGTCAATAGCCAGGATTACATCACAGGTGTGTGTGTGTGTGGAGGGGGGATGTCTATGGAAACACATTTACCAATGACTTGAAATTAGGTAATCATACATGTCTCTGGGCTTTTTATTTGATAGCATATGTTGTCTACAAAAAGCTTTTCCCCTGTTATGGCGTGATTCCATCTAAACTCCTTTCATATATGATACCTACATCTATGTTCACGTATATTTTAGGAAGTGTCTACAGTAGTAGTTTTCCATATGACTTTTTCAAAGGTCTTTAATGTTCATTATCTCTCTCCATACTCTCTCCTCTACCCTGACCTCACAGGGTTGTATAGTAATTCGATGTAAGGAGAGGCATATTTGTGTAGTATAGAACTATGGACATTGAGTTTGTATTTGGTGAATATTCCTAAATTGATTTATGCAGATCAGAAGCCAACATGGTTTGCTCCGCAACCAACATTGGATACGAGTAGAAGTATTACTTTCATGTTTGTTTGCATTTCAAAATCAAGTAAAATGCAAAACAAAAAGTATAAATTAAAAATGACACAAATCCTATCATTTAGACAAAGTAAGTTTTGGCAGAAAATTTTATGCATGAATCAGCATTGTTTATTTCCTTTTTATTTTGTATGTATCATGTCTTTTCAAATATATCCAATATATGTACTGTACACATGCATACATGCACATGCATGCCTGTTTTTGTTTGTTTGATTGTTTTTTGGTTTTGTATGTATAATACCACTGTGCTGGTTAGGTTTTTGTAAACTTGACACAAACTAGAGCCACCTGGGAAGGGGAACTTCAGTTTATAAATTGCCTTCATCTGATTGGTCTGTGGGAATATTAGTGAACATATGTCCTAATAAATTCCACATGCATCAGAGCTAGACTTGTTAATGCTAGCATAGCTAGTTAAGAACTGTGCTGTGCTATGACATAGGAAGCCATGGCGACAGAAACCCAGCTGAGAGCCTCTGTGATGTGGCTCTGAGCTACCAGGAAAGTCTTTTATTTAAAAAGTCAGATTATGTGAAGAGCCTAAACATTCAGTGTATCATTAAATTATGTTATGATTGTATGTTTTTAATTAATTTCAGAAAATTAGATGCTTATCTTTTCCCTTTGAAACTTAAGAAACCAAAGTAGGATTCATATGTGATGAGCTGAAGAAGGAAAATTATTTTTAACAGTCAAACTTGGCTTCACAGCTTACTAGCTTTCTATTTCTGCTGGCCAGGGGAGCATGTTGCCTCTTGCCTTGGCCTCTTCTCTCTTTGATTATTAATCCCCTGCATGTTGGAGCACTGTTGATAACTTGTCACAACTGGCACTTGCGTCAGTTTGTTCTTTGGACAGAAATCGCTTAGCTCAAGCCTTAGTAAAACTGTTTGCTTGTTCACACTGAATTTAGCATAAAGAATATTTACACATTCAGTTTAGTGCGACAAAAGGAGAGGCGAGGCCCTGGTGTGTCAGCAGGTCTGAGAGTGCAAGAGCCTGCGAGTACAAGGCGGTCAACAGCAGAGTGTAATGTAGATGTGCTCCATGGGCTAGCGTTCCAGTGGCTTCTCGTTATGTGTATGACCGACACGGGGTTCTCCCCTCTTTTGGTACCCAGTGCCCATTCTCACTCTCCTGACTCCATCAGCAACTCAGCCCTGGAGCAAGAGCAGCCTGAGGTGCAGTGGACCTTGGGTGTGATTACATATTAACTATCCCTGCGTGGCTCACTGAAAGATCGCCAGAACACCGTGAATATAATTAGTGTTGGTGCAGTTGGAAGAATTTCAAGTGGATGTGTCTAGATCCGGCAACTTTCCTAGTGCCTTTTAAACCTGAAGCAGAGCTAGCCAGCCAGCCAGCCCACTGTGGCAAAGAGCATACACAATTCCTAAAGACAATACCAAGCATGCACATCTCAAAGTCTTAAAAATCACATCCCGCATTTGCCTTAATTCCCCAAGAGATTAATTTCTGACATCTTCTCTGTGAATATGGAATTTTGTTTGTTGAACCGGTGAACACCAGGGTTCACCAGTCTTCATTATACCATCACCTCCCTCAGATTACTTTGTTGAAATTCTCATTCCTTGTTGTTTATAAAGCCCCCTTTGCCCTTTAGGATTTGTTCCATCATTGGTGTTCTACAGCTACTCCTGAGCAGAGAATTCCTTACCAAGAATTTACATGCTTCCTCAGCTACTGTTTGCAGGCACTTAGCTCTTCAACATAAATAAAACTTCAAAAATATGATCTCAGTGACATTAGAAAAACAGAAACACATCAAAGCGGTATTGATTTAGATAACTTTGTTGTGACAATCAATCATGCCTGAGCTATGAGCAAACCAAAACAAATTCCCACTGGAGAACAAATCTTTACCAAGGCGCTGTGCGTATTAACAAATCCCCATATCTCTTGCTGGAGGCTCTGTGCATACAGCAGGGGCCCGTGTGGGGCTGTCTGTGTCTCATTCCATCTCCCTATCCTCAGCTCCATGCTCCTTCACGTGAAGAGCTGGTACCTGCTCATACAGTAGGCATCACCCTTGATAGTGATCCCTAGTATCTATAGATTTGTGAATAATTTCCTGTCATATATTTGGCCCATGCATTGTCCCCCAAACTCATGCTTCTCTGCTATCACTGTTGTTGCAGCAATCTAAACTGTACCCCATCCACAATTCTCTCCCTTGTTTGTGCTTCATGATGCGATATTGTTCTCTTTCACATTTCATTTTGTCCCTGGAGAACCCGGCTGTATCATTAGCGTTTTTTTACTTTCCCAAGGCCACTTAAACTTCACTGTTCCCTAATTTCTTCATAAGGAGTGGGAGCATGGCAGCAACCTAGAAGGACTTGGCTCTAGTACTCTATCCCGTAAGTGTAGTCACTGTTTATTTTAGCTTTTTAGTTTTTTGGTTGTCTTTGCATGTGTGCATGTAGATGCATTCTCTCGTATAGGTATGTGTAGAGGCCAGGGTTGACATTGTCTTTCCTCAATTGCTTGTCTACCTTACTTTTTTATTACAGTTTTTATTATATATTTAAATTAGGAACAAGCTTTCTTCCCATGTCAGTCCCAGCTCCCTCTCCCTCCCCTCCACACCCACTCCCCGCCACCAGCCCCCCCCCAACCCCACCCAATTCCCACTCCATTCCATAGGGAGGGTAAGGCCCTCCATGGGTGATCTCTAGAATCTGTCATTTCATTCCTGGGAGGGCCCAGGCCCTCCCCAAAGTGTCCAGATTGAGAAAGCATCCCTCATTGTGGGATGGGTCCCCAAAGTCCATTTGTGAGCCAGGGATAAATACTGATCTACTACCCAAAAACCCCATAGATTGCCTAAGTCTCCCCACTGACACCCACATTCAGGGGGTCTGGATTAGTCCCATGCTGGCCTCTCAGCCACCAGTCTGGGGTCCAAGATCTCCCCCTTGTTCAGGTCAGCTGTTTCTCTGGGTTTCACTAGCCCAGTCTTGACCCTTTTGCACATCACTCCTCCCTTTCTGTCACTGGGTTCCAGGAGTTCAGTTCAGTGTTTAGCTGTGGGTGTCTGCCTCTGCTTCCTTCTGTCACTGGATGGAGGTTCTAGAGTGGTATGTAAGACAATTGTCAAAATCATTATTAGGGAGGGGTATTTAATGTAGTCTCTCCACTACTGCTTAGTTTGCCAGTTGGTGTCATCCTTGTAGATCTCTGGAGATCTCACTAGTGCCAGATCTCCCCTCAAACTTAGAATGGCTCCATCTATTATGGTATCTCCTTTCCTGCTTTACCTTACTTTTGAGACAGGCTGTCTTACCAAACCTGAAACTCATTATTTTGGCAAGACAGGCTGGCCAGACAGCCTGCCCCGCCCCCAACCTCAGATCAGCCTGTCTGGCTCCCAGTACAGGAGTTTCTCACATTAGCCCCCGTGCCTTGATTGTATCCCAGTGCTGGAGATCTGAGCTTTGCCTGCTGAGCCATCTCTTCAGCCCTGATGTTTGTTTCTCTAATGTTACTCCAGGTATTCCTTCCAAGATGAGGAAGACATGTTCATGGTGGTGGACCTGCTACTTGGTGGGGACCTGCGTTATCACCTGCAGCAGAACGTCCACTTTCAGGAAGACACAGTGAAGCTGTTCATCTGTGAGCTAGCCATGGCCCTAGACTACCTGCAGAGCCAGCGCATCATTCACAGGTCAGTCAAGTCCAAGAAGACAGCCCAGGACTTTGATAAGAAGCCCCAGTGAACAGATGTTCGCTTATCACAACATTTACTGTTCACTTAGTTGTTTCAGCAGGCTCTTCTGGGTTGGTTGGTTGGCTGCCCCTGTGGGTAGTTGGCATATAGAGTTTAATTTGCCCAAGGTCACAGTAAATGACAAGACTAAAATGCATCATCAATGTCCTTTGGTGCTTGGTTATAGCTTCGCATGCTTAAAGAGAAGGAACGGTAACAGTTGAGAACTTAAATATTAAGTGAGTTCATTCAGACTGAAGTAGAAGCATGCAGAGGGACAGATAAGAAATCCTCATAGAAGAAAACTTGGCTTAATGTCTTCCTGTCATGGCAACTGTATTAAGTGACTCCCCCGGGTGTTCACTGCTAACAGGAGCAACAAAAACAAGGAGTCCCCTGCACTTAAAGAATTTGTTTTAAGAAAACAAATAAGGAGTTGTAAAGGGATATGTCCAGCAGACAGGAAGGGTTTCATTACAATTGTGAAAAAATTAGTAGCTTTAGTGAGGATCTCACATATTATAACTTATTTATCTCAAAAAGAACCTCAGTAAATGATCAAAGCAGCTACTGTTAGATATGTATTAGTTATGTCAAAATCATGGTTTATAAATATGAAATTATCACCTATTTATTAATAGCAAAGTCATCATCATATCTGTTACTTCTACTGAGGCTTTCTTTGTGCTGGGCACTGGGCGGCATTTTATTACTGTTTTGATTCCTTGAGCATCAACAAGGACTTCTCATTTGATCATAGTGTCCCCATTGTACCAAAGAAGAAAGTGGGTCAAAGAATTGCTAACAGTTGGCACAGGGATCTGAAACTGGATCTCTCCATCCCCAAATGAGAGTGAGAGAGAGCCTTGTTATACAAAGAGCACTAAATATCCATGTGAAATGCATACATCAATTACACATCATTAGATAAAAACCAATGAAGATAACCTTGCTTTAATCTTGGGAGAATTGACTGAGATTTTAGTACACTTGTGGCTTATTTATGTGGCCTGAGTTGGATAGCATGTTTGGCTACTGCACTTATCTGTGACTTTTCTGGATGAGCCCTGAGCCTGTGGTTGAACAGGTACCACCACAATTTGTAGGCACATGAACTAGTCCCCATTTTCTTTTCTGACTTTCAGTGGGTAGCCTTAAGCAACTGCTTAATTTTCCATCTTTGGAGAGGTTATTTGTATTGGAAATGTGCTCTTTAAGTAATAGTTAAATGGAAAGCTGACCAGTTAATCACACAGGATTTCAGGCAGCAATTTCCACACCTGGTGCTTTGTGGGTAATTGGAGATCTCATTTTGAAGGTCAGGCTTGCTGGCTCTCAGAGGCTTTTTTCTGGGAAGAGCTTTATTCAGAGAGGAATTCAGGTGGGAAGTTCACCTGGAAACCAGGGGCTCACTCCCAGCTGGTGACTGTTGTTCAGTCTCTTTCTCCCTCACACCTCCCTATTCTCACCAGATCTGGACCACTTAAATAATGTCACACATGAGGAATCAACTTCTTATTCCTAGCTTTTTACACTCGAACAGTATTTACCTCCTCTCCACTTCTGAGAAGACCTGTTTGTGCTACAACATCTTCTCACATGTAAATGAATGAGAGAAATGTGGACATTCTGGATGCAGCATTGAAACAAACTGAGATGTTGTCTTTCTGGAGTCACAGAACAATTCAAGTGTGTTTCTGCTGCCTGTGTGCCCCACTCACCTCCCAAGCATTGCTGTCGGCCCCACTCACCTCACATTCAATGCTGTGGGCCCCAATTACCTCCCATACATTGTTGTGGACCCCACTCACCTCCCATTCATATTGATGGGCCCCACTCACCTCTCATGCAATGTATTTTATAAGTCACCAGAGAATTTTGCACTTCTGAGAAGCTCTGACACTTTTTGATGTGCAACTGAGTAATTTATTTGTGCCCTTTTATTCCAGGAGTAAAGCCATGTCTGCTTAGCTTCTCGTTGCCTTGCTATTATTTGGTATAACTATGAAGGGATTGATGCTGGGGAAGCCATGTAAATGACTAACTGGAAGCAAATAATGAGTGCACATTTGAAACATGAGGCATTAGAGCCAGAGAGGTACCTCAGTAGGGCACAGCACTTAGCGGAGACTCCGAGATCAATTCTCAGAACCCAAGTCAGGAATGTCACAGCCACTTTTAACTCTCATCCAGGGATGCATGATACCTTTGGTCTTCAAAAACACTGCACTCATACACACACATACCCCCACACTGTCATGCACATACACATGATCTTAAAGAAATATGTAGCACATTAAAGCCAAAGATTTCAGCCTTCCATCATCTTTATGTTGAGCCACGTAATTTATCATTAGAACAGTGTGCTTCTGAAAGCTAAATAGGGTGTTATTAACAACAATGATATTGGGCATGGCTTTCTACACAGGACCTGAGCAGATGATACCAACTGACATTCTAGCATGGAAGGAGAGAATCTCATGGGGCCTCAGCCCTAAAGAAAGAATTGCTAAGGAATACTGAGAGCAGGAGCAATAGTCTTCCCCAGAGAAGAGTCCCCAGACTGGTCATCCAACATCACATGCTCAGTCTTGAAATCATATACATAGAAGTAATGTACAGAATGATCAAGCTGTATCTACATGTTTAGAACTATATACATACACATAAATAGATACATATGTAACAACAACTAAGGAAAATGAGGCCATGAATTTGAGAGCAAATTGGAGTACATAAGAAAGGTATGGGGTAGGGAAGGGAAGAGGAAATGATGTAATTACATTCAGTCTCAAAATATAAATAATATTGCTGAGACGGCAGTTGAAACTCTAATACGTTCTAGTAAATTAAAGACATATTACCAGTGTTAAAGTTCTTTCAAGACAATGGGCCAATAGATACTTTGATTGTCTTTACTATTAAAATGCCAGTTACCAATTCAATGCGTTATCATCTTGAAATGGTGTCCAAAAGCTTTAAAAACCAGATAGAGATTGAGTGTTGCTGGAGCCTGAGGAGGGCACAGAGTAAGGTGAACATGGCCACCTGACTGCAAGCACCCATATCCCAGCTGCACAGACCAAGATGCACACTGAAGCCACAGGTAAGAGGGTGATCTAAAACCAGAAGCTAAACTTTTTGAAGGTGTTAGATAAGGAAACAGTTTTGTAAGATCTCATCAGAGTCAAAAGAGGCTTAGCTGGCCAAAGCAGGGATCCGACTGACCATGTAACAGGGACTGAATAAATTCGAGTCTTGATTCAGGGGCTAGGGAGATGGCTCATTCAGTAGGATGCTTGCTGCAAAAGGGTGAGGACATAAGTTTGCTTTGCCAGCACTCACATAAAAAATGCATACAACTAGAATCTCAGTAAGTGGGGACTGGTGATCCCTGGAGATCACTGACAAGCTCTCCAAACTGAATTGTTCAGTTCTAGGTTCAGTGAGAGACCCTGTCTCAAAATATCATGTGAAGTGTAATTGAAGATGTGTTATTTCAGCCTGTTAATCTCAACAAGTACAGGTATCCAGATGAGTACATACTCTCTCCCTCCACGTGAACACACTGTTTTATTTAGGGTCACTATTGCTGTGATGAAACACTATGACCAAAAGCAAATTGGAACGGAAAGGGTTTAATTGGCTTATATATCACATTATCAAAAGAAGTCAGGACAAGAACTCAAGCCGTGATGGAACCTGGAGGCAGGAGTTAATGGTAGAAACTATGGAGAGGGGCTGCTCACTGGCTGGCTTCTCGTGGCTTGCTCAGCCTGCTTACTTATAGATCCCTGTACTGCCAGTCGAGGAGTGGCCCACCCACAATGAGCTGGGCCCTCTCTCGTCAATCACTGATTAAGAAAATGCACTACAGGCTTGCTGACAGCCCAATCTTATGAAGACGTTTTCTCAGTCGAGGCTCCCTCCTATCTAATGACTCTAGCTTGTGTCAATTTGACATAAAACCATCAAGTACACACACACGTACACACACACACACACACACACACACACAGAGAGAGAGAGAGAGAGAGAGAGAGAGAGAGAGAGAGAGAGCTCATTCTATCTGAAGAAATACAGAATAGACTCTGCTTAAATTTTGTTCTTACCTCGATGTCCCTGCCAATGATGTGTTTCTAAGACACTGTACCATCTTCACTATAAGCTCCATGTGGGATATAAATAGGTCTGTGTCTTATTCTATCAATAGAATTTTTCAATCCATAGACTTGAAATTTTAAATTTCCCATAATATGCAAAATATTGATCTAATTTTCATCAAATTCCAGAGCTTTGACACAGTTGATAAAGGAGTTGCATGATAACCTTAATTTGGTTTATATAATTAGATATGTTTCCTATTGATCAAGAAATACAAATGTTTTCCTGTGCTCACAGATTGAAAACTGACTTTAGTTTTCAAAGTGTGGCAAATCCTATTTTAGTACCCCCATTATTTACATTAAGCCAGTCAATGAAGGTTTTACAGAGTGGCCAAAGTAATCATTTGCTTCGATTAAACATAACAGAGCCCAAATTCATTGTAATTCTTGTGAGGAAAGCAGTATTTGATTAGAGTGCCACACTCCCTCCAGTGACTAATCTGATGGAAACTAATTATTGCATACCAAGAAGGAATTGGTAGTCATTTTCCTGTCACATGTTGAAGAAGACTTAATTACGAATTTAGACTACGGAGATGAACTATATAAGACAGTTAGCAGTAAGTTGTGTCAGATTAGAATAGATGGTTGATTGTATTTTCCTCCTAGTAGAAATAATCTCACTCTAATGAAGTTATAACTTACCATTTTCCAAATTCCTATAGGAATGAGATAAAATACTATTAGGTAATTCATTTAAATAATGACTGCTCAACAGCGAAAATTGTGAAATTTTATCTCCCATGGATAATGGAAATATTGAACAGGGAATAATAGAAAAGTTTTGATTAT